TTCCTGCTCCTACCAGACTTTCATTGCACCTGCGAAAAAAACCCAACAAAGACAAATATGCATAAAACATAAAATCCTGCTAGCAAAGGAGACACCCTCACAGACACATATGAGTGTCATTTGCATGTGCAAATAAGTGTCCCCGACCATCAAAAGCAAGGTATGAGAAAAAGGACAGCCACTAAATGTTTCTAGGAAATCTAAGCTCTTCTAATTTAGAAGAAGACATTGTAAAACATCATTTTCATTTCCTCAGTCCCAGTTGCTTAACTCTGTGTGTTAAGACAGAAATCAGTATTGATGAAAACGATCAACCAGTTCTGAAGCTATTTTTAGTATAACTACTTACATTTGAAAATAATTTAAGTAAAATCAAATATTAAATTCCACATTCAAGAACTGACGTATTTACTCATCAAAATGATACCAGTGCAGTTAAAGTATTTTTCTATCATTTGTCAATTTGGAATTTCATTTAAATATATTCTGCCCAACATACTGGTTAGACTCTACAGACATAGTTGTTCATTTTTTTTCTCTTAATCTTTCATTTTCTTAAGTGATATACAGTTTTGTTCTCTGAACGATTGGATTCTTAAGATGGTAAAGGGATCTGAGCTATTTACGAGTGTTTCTCAGAAAGAGATTTTACCAAAAATGCTGATTTTTTTTCTCCATTATGAGTGTAAGAACTTCCTTTTAAAAAGTAGACACAATATTCCTTATCAACCGCAAAACAGTAAGATATGCATATAGTATTAGTGTGATTAGAGAGAACAGACTAGCATACAGGAAATTAGTGGGGAGAAAATAAATCTTTGTGTTTATATTAGCGAAATTTCCACTGATCTGCTCAACATTTGAGTGCTGCCAGAAAAAAACAGAGCTATCGACTTCTAAACAGGCAAAGCCAAAAACTTTACACATGCACTTTGGGATTAAAGCAGCAACATCTTTTACTAAAGGGTAATTCAATAAGGGTTTCAGCTTCTAGCACTATGAAACTAAACTTTTTTTCTTTTTCTCCTTATGCTTAACTTGGATCACAGAATCACAGAATCGCTCGGTTGGAAAAGACCTCTGAGATCATCATGTCCAACCGTTCCTGTCTACCCACTAAACCATATCCCTAAGTACCTCATCTACCCACTCTTTAAATACATCCAGGGATGGTGACTCCACCACCTCCCTGGGCAGCCTGTTCCAGCTTCTAACGACCCTCTCAGTAAAGAACTTCTTCCTTATCTCTAACCTGAACCTCCCTTGGCACAGCTTGGTGCCATTTCCCCTTGTTCTATCCTCCATCACCTGGGAGAAGAGACCAGCACCCACCTCTCTACAACCTCCCTTGAGGTAGTTGTAGGTGGTGATGAGGTCTCCCCTCAGCCTTCTCTTCTCCAGGCTAAACAACCCTAGTTCCCTTAGCCGCTCCTCATAAGGCTTGTTCTCCAGATCCCTCACCATCCTTGTGGCTTTTCTCTGAACACGCTCCAGAATCTCAACATCCTTCTTATAGTGAGGGGTCCAGAACTGAACACAGTACTCGAGGTGCAGCCTCACCAGTGCCAAGTACAGTGATGATCATTTCATCACCAGGGCATGAAAAATACACGAAAATCTGAGGCAGCAAATTCAACTCTTATTTTGTAATGGTGGAGTGCAAATTTTCACCACAGCAAATACTTCACAATGTTCTAGGCATATTTTCACTACTACCTGACATAATCTGGTTTTCAGAGCTAAACAGGATTATATTTCCAGTGTCAGTACTTTGATTATATTGAATGAATTTTCAATTAAGACTATTCAGAGTTAAATATTTTTGGAAGATCTTTATTTCAGTGTTACACAATTATGCAAGATTGTTCTATTTAAGAGCACTTAGAATTCTGTCCAAAAAAAGGCTAAATCACCAATAAGAGCTTCAACTTCACAAAAACAGTATGTAGGGAGATACAAGGGAAGAAACACCCATCGAAACAAAGTAAGAGATGTAGACTGTGTGAATGTATGTAGACTGTGTGAATGTAACTTGTCAAGTAAGAAACACTGGGGACAGAATTCTGACTAGGAAATGGGTGAAAAGTATGAGATCATTTAAAACATTAGGAGTTCTCGCCCCCAAAATGGCACTGTCCTTTAAATCCAAAACTACTGTTGAAATAATCCATTTGTTACAGCTGCTTCTGTGACAGTAGGCTACATTTAGAAACAATTCTTTTTCTTTAGATGACTTCCTATGTTACAGACCAAATTTTTATTGTATGATCTCTTTCTCAGAAATCCATAAAAATTACATAAAGCTCATTGTACTATCAAACTGCAATGATATATGATCAACAGAGCATTTTCCATTCATGAACATTGAAATCATATTCAGAACATGTTAATCATACCTGCTAAAGTCAAAATATATAGCACTCTCATAACTGAAACATTATCTTAGCTACTAAATATCACGGCTGATGAAGTAATGAAATTATAAAGTAAAACATCTGCAGAGTGGTAGTTTAAAAATGTATAAATTAAGTTTTGCAACAAAAAACTCTGTTAAAGAGCTGTCTGGCTTCCTTTTTTTTTTACCTTTTTTTCTTGAATAAACATTTTAATTTCTCACTGGAAGAAGAAAAGTAGACAGGTACAAAGAGGTCAAACTTGTCCTTGTTACTTTTATCCAAAGCTAGTCTGAATTTAATACATGAAGTTTACTTTGCCTTTTTTTAAAATACACACAACATTGTGACAACCTTAAAAATATTACTGAATATTTCCACCAAAAAAAAAATACTTTGAATGAGATCTTCCATCCCTGCCTTCTTCCACTCACACAGAGGAAATGAGGTTTTTAAAACAAGAAGTGAAATAAAGCAAATATTCACTTTGCAGGTTACAAAAATACGGTCAAAAGCGTATGGATGAGTTCCTTTGGGCAGTTAATATTTTTCAGCCTTTGATTGTGCAACCGCAAGCAAACACAGAGCAGAACAGTTACCCATTAGGAAGGAGAGCAGCCTGCTAGCAGCATTGCTCCTGTCCCAGACACAAGAGATAAGGAGAGAAGGAAGGGAAAGGAATATTCTTCTCCTCTTGAAACATATTTTCCATTCATTTCTGAAGCAAGTTCTCAAAGTAGAAAAAAAGAAGCGCGAACACATGAAATATAAACAGCGGTATCTCTGTGCCAAATACATGTCATTACTGCAACGCAATCCAAGTAGAGAAATTAAACAAATCTATCATAAAGGCAAATAAGAACAAACCTTTACAGCTCCTAGCTGCTCTTTCCTAAATCTTTCCAAAGGTTTGATCAGAGTTTCAGTGACACTGAGTGCCTGAAGAAAAAAAAACATGGGTTAGGTTTCTGGAGCCAGACAGATAAGTCACTTGAGCATCAGCAATAAAAAGAAAAGAGCAAGCAAGCTCTGGGGTAAAATAAAGAAGCATGTGAATTAGAAACCTAAATCCTAACTCAAAAAAAATCACATCTCTAAGATAATTTAAGCTGTCAAAATTTCTATCCCTTATTTCAATGCACTGTCAGGTAAACAAATGCAGAAATTTCAGAATTTTACAGGCTGCAGCCAAACTGCAACTGCTTTACTTGTGCCACTCTTGCAGACCAGGTTGATGGCCTCAACAACTGGACACTAGAATGAGACACAAGACAAATGATTTTCATTTGGGAACACAAACATTTCTTGAGTAGTAAATAATAAGCTTTTAACACACAGTCAAAACCATTAGGCAATGATACATGTATTTCCAAATATTTACATTTAAGTACATGAAGAAAACCTTAAGCTAACCTAAGTTATAAAATAAAGAGATGTCAAGTTGTGAAACAAGAGGTTTAGTTGACCGGGTGAACATCCACCAGTGCATTTACGATAAACAGCCTCATAGCCCTAAAGAGAAACAAAGAGGACACAATATGCCAGTATAAGACAGAAAACTGTAGCTCACTTGATCTGGCCAGCAAACGCAGTTTCTATTTCACATGAAATTTCACCAGAGATAGAGTGGGGTTGGGTTTGGTTTTGGTGCAAACAAAACTTAGCATTTTAAAAATGTCTAAAATCTCAGCAAAGGTTGGAACTTCTTGAACACAACAGCAGCACAGAAAAGATGGCAGGAGCATCAGAGGTGTGGAGGAGCAGATGGGATCCTTACATTCTCGGTCCTACGGCAGACTCACAGAGTAAATCATGCCCAAGACTGGACTTAACACAGCCCTGAGCTATCAGAAGTCCAGGTAAAGCTCCCTGGAAGCCCACCTTAGATACACCAGAAGCCTTTCTCTCTCTTCCCCCGCCCCGTTCAAATGTGAATACATTTAGATAAAACACTGCAGGCTTAGATCAGTGGAACACTTCTGAAAAGCTCTTACCATAAAACACAAGAGGGATGTAAATAGTTGAGATTTGGCATAACACACAACTGAACAGCGCTGTCTGCTCCCACCCACCCCTGCGGCTATGCAGGGATTACTGTGGGAGTCATCCTGCCAATTCCCTGTAACCAGAGCAACCCCACCAAGGCAGCATGCTAACCTATGTACCTACCTGGAAACCCAAATATCTGGCAAGTCTGGGCCAAACTGCCTACTGCACAGTCATCCATACAACAGATACCTCCTCACTTCAGAGCACTTGTTCTTACAGCTCAAATTCTTTTTCTGCGGCCATTTCCTGGTTTTGTCAAAAACACTTAAAAGCACCCTTCAGTGCACCCTTGGTGGGAGCAAAAGCAAAAGGAAACTTGACAGCTCTGTCTTTCAAAGGTGTACAGTAGCACTCGGCTAACCATAACCTAGGAAACTCTTGTGCCAAGGGCTGGGGAAGGACAACTGAGCAACTTGTGGCCACATCTCCAGCCCAGCAAAGAGATTTCCTGAAGAGTTCAGCCCAAGGCTTTGAGGATGCTTATGGTGGCTGGAGATCCATTCACTCCTCAAGCTGCCTCTGCTCAGTCCAAACAGGAGCTCAAATGCAGTTCTAGAAAAGATTTAGCCTACCTGGTAGCCTGTGCACATATACTGTAACTTCCAGACTACTGGAGTCTCCAGGGAAGGTTTTACAATAGTCAGGGTTTTCAAATCTTGTCAGGCTCCCAAAACTTTCCCAGAAATTCTTAGGAGCTGAAAGTAAACAGCAATTTGGATTTATAATTGGATTAAGCACCAGAAACAGTTTCCTGGGACACAAGAGAAGCACCTGAGGACTGAAGGATCTCTCCCGGCTGACCACGAGGATTCTCACAAATCAGAGTGGAGCGCTGCACACAGAAATGACAGAATAGTCCTTCTGTATCAGAAAACTTTAGCAAGTTTAAATTGTTTCTGCCAGTTTTTTCTATACTGACAAAGCAAAGGAGAAAGCTATGAGGCCTCCTCAGAGTAAAACTCAGAGAGGATGATGCTAGCTGCCAGAGCACCATGATAAGTAGAATCATTTAAAAGCATTTAAAAGTAACAACTGAGCACTTAAATGGCCTGAAGCTTAAAAATAAATACCTAATGACAAGTTGGTTATTACTTGTTTGAACTTTTACACAAAAAAGTGAAAAGTAAAATCAACAGGCAGTGAATGTATGCAGAATATGAAGTCCAAGTCAAAGAAAACCCTACCACCTTGATGTAACAAAGAAATATAAAAAAAAAAAAAAGAAAGCAAAAAACCTGACAAAGACTGTGGTTTAGAAACCAGCAGGTTTGGCTGCAAATCACTTGGCCTGCTACACTCCTGTGCAGCATTAACCACGGGAACCACTACAAGAATTTGTTTGAAGCAGAAAATGATCTTTCAACCAAAAAGGGATGTTCCCTCAGCGACTGCCAACAGAGATTCCAGTGGTATGATGTGCCAATAATTCTTTCAGTAAAAGAAAAACAAGCCTCTGCTCCTTCCAAAAAAGGATGTTTCTCATTTTGCACAACTTAAATCAAACTTTTGTTAACAGATGCCTCTTCAGTAGAATTTTGCCTGCCACATAGGAATTTTATGATTTGTCACCCTCTTTGCTTCCTGTCTCTGGGTTAAACAACAGGGCTCTTGAAGTGGGATCTTTGTAGATCTTTGGTCATTCTAATGGAGCTTCATACCAGGCCCATATGCAAAAATTAAAAGGACTATTTCCTCCGCACTGAAATGAGCATGTGTGTGAGTTGATTTGTGTATAAACAGAAACTGTCAACCAAGATGTGACTGATAAATTTAACAGTGAATTACAGAGCTGTTGTTCTGACTGGTAGAAATAATAACAAAGTTCCTAAGTAAAATACGCATAATACTAGATGAAATAGGGAAACATACGCTCTGGTTTCCAGTACTTAGAATCCAGTACTTGTCACGAAAAGCAATCAAAAGATGTGCACTTATTTATAGAACAAAACTATTTACTCTGTTACTCATTGTTAACTCAGTTTATTTATAACTTGGAAACTCAAAATAATACTTCTTTTTTTTTTTCTTCTTAATCCACAGAGAACAGATCAATAGACAGTCAAGACAGAAATGTCTGTGCCAGGAAACAAAAGTCCTTGCAGCTACCCAGCAGTTTCTACTGAAATCCCACCAGACATCTTATTTCTTGGCAGATGGGGGCAGTCAGTTCTTTGGCTTTCTCTGCTCCATCCTCTAAAACCTTTATCAGATGGGATCTGTCTTCTTGAAGTTTCTTGGTTTCATTCCTAAAGTAAAATTCTCCCAGTATGGGGAACTAAGCTAAGGATCACTTGAACATATTTGTCATTATCACTTGTATCTTCCCTAAGAAGTAGGACCATGTTAAAATACAAAATTTTCAAGAAAAGTTATATTAGATATTAGATATTCATTAACATACAATTACGTGTTCCTTCCTCTTTCAACTTCTGTCTTGACTCTTAAATTAATTTTCATTCCTTTACTGCTCTAATCCTGGCAGACTATGATGCTAGGAATATAATACTTAAGGGGCACAAAAAACCTCCTTTCTTTCCTTTGTATCTCTGATCTATCCAAACCTACCTGAAAGGAATATATACTCAATTTCAAAGCCTAGCAGGCAAATCATGGTAAGTCATAAGTGAATCAATATAAAGAGGTCATGTCTCAGAGAGCAGTATCTTAACCAGCTTTATGAATGTCAAAGTCTCAGGAATGCTTTAAGAAATGTTTAACCTGATATGCCCACATGCCTCAGGCAGACATTCTGAAACTGCTCACACTATTCTCTTCTATTTGCTGCACCTATGCAAAGGTCAAAGAATTAACTTAAGTTGAACATATAAACCCGATAATAACAGCAAAAAAATCTTAATTGCCATCATCACCTCAAGAAATCAGCGTATCAAACATTTCCAACAACATCTTAAAGCAGGCTTTCAGTTTTATGTGTACATCTCCTAATTTCAGATAGAAGCATAGAATGGTTTCAGTTGGAAAAGACCTTTAAGATCATCAAGTCCAACCATTGATCCAGCCCTACTAAGTCCTCCACTAGACTATGTCCCTAAGCACGACATCTACTCATCTTTTAAACACCTCCAGGGATGGTGACTCAACCACATCCCTGGGCAGCCTGTTCCAGTGCTTGACAACCCTTACAGTAAAGAAATTCCTCCAAATATCCAACCTAAACCTCCCCTGGTGCAACTTGAGGCCATTTCTTCTTGTCCTATCACTTGTTACCTAGCAGAAAAGACCAACACCCACCTCTCTACAACCTCCTTTCAGGTAGCTGTAGAAAGCGATGAGGTCTCCACTCAGTCTCCTCTTCTCCAGACTAAACAGCCCCAGCTCCCTCAACCACTCATAAGACTTGTGCTCCAGACCCCTCACCAGCTTTATTGCCCTTCTCTGGACATGCTCCAGCATCCTGATGTCTCTCTTGTAGTGAGGGGCCCAAAACTGACCACAGAATTTGAGGTACAGCCTCACCACTGCCCCTACTCCTGCTGGCCACACTATTCCTGATGTAAGCCAGGATGCTTTTGGCCTTCTCAGCCACCTGGGAACATTGCTGGCTCATGTTCAGCTGTTGATCAACACCCCCAAGTCCTTCTCCAGGCAGCTTTCCAGTCACTTCTCCCCAAGCCTGTAGCATTGCATACGGTTGCTGTGACTCAAGTGCAAGACCCAGCACTTGGCCTTGTTGAAGCTCATACAGTTGGCCTCAGCCCACTGATCCAGCCAGTCCAGGCCCCTCTGCAGAGCCTTCCTACCCTCAGGCAAATCAACACTCCCTTCCAGCTTAGTGTCATCTGCAAACTTGCTGAGAGTGTACTCGATTCCCTCATCCATGTCATTGATAAAGATGTTAAACAGAAGTGGCTTCAGCACTGAGCCCTGGGGAACACCGCTTGTGACTGGTCGCCAACTGGATTTAGCTCCATTCACCACAACTCTCTGTGCTCGGCCATCCAGCCAGTGTTTTACCCAGCAAAGTGTATGCCCGTCCAAGCCATGCCCAGCCAGTTTCTTCAGGAGGATGCTGTGGGAGACGGTGTCAAAGGCCTTACTAAAGTCCAGGTAGACAATGTCCACAGCCTTCCCCTCGTCCACCAAGCAGGTCACCTCATCATAAAAGGAGATAGATAGGATTAGTCAAGCAGGACCTGCCCTTCCTGAACCCATGCTGACTGGGCCTGATTGCTTGGTTGTCCTGCATGTGCCGTGTGATGGCACTCAGGATGATTTGTTCCATCACCTTCCCTGGCACCGAGGTCAGACTGACAGGTCTGTAGTTCCCCGGATCTTCCTTCCAGCCCTTCTTGTAGATGGGCGTCACATTTGCAAGCCTTCAGTCAACTGGGGCCTCCCTGGTTAACCAGGACTGCTGATAAATGATGGAAAGTGGCTTGGCAAGCACTTCTGCCAGCTCCTTCAGATGTCTTTACAAAACTTCACCTGCTCAGGCAGAGTTGTTGTACAGAATGGTGATAATCTTGGCTTTTCCAGCTCCATATTTTTCAAAAGAAATAAGTAACAGGTTGCAGATTAAGGTGCCCAAACCAACATTTCCTAGAGCAGCCCACAAAGGCACAGACTAAATCCATTAGCAAGTGTGTTTATAGCTTTTTGCTACTTCATCAGTCAAGTTAACAAGATCCAACAGGTCACTTACCAGTCAGTGCCAGTCCACAAGATGACTCCATTTCCCTTCTCAGAGAAGGGGGAAACTGCTTCTCCAAGCACCTCTTCCTATGCACTCACTGTAACCTGACAGACAGCACCAGCCACCAGCATTCAACATTCCTCATACTTTCTCACCCTCCTGCAGCAGGCTGGAGCAGTTTGTGTAAGTTCCCGCTCCCCTTGCAGGCACAACCAGGCTTGTCCTGCAGAAGAGGACGGCTGCTTTGTGTGGGCTGTAAAGGAGTTTCAGCCCACAAGAGCTGTGCCTGAATACCAGCCCAGCATCTGTGGCTACGAAGACCAGACCAACCTAAGCTAATCAAAATTTGTTTTGCCTATTATGAAGCTATGGCCTCCCAGCTTTCATCTCAAAAGTGTCCTCAGACCCCAGCCTTTTTCTGGAAGAAATGGCAATTACACATTGCTCATCAATAACTCTGGTGGTGAGGTAAATCAATGCTGACTAATTCTAAATCTAAGCATTCTCCTGTACAAGACAGGTTTACTGAGAAAGAACAAAAAGCTGCCATAAAAATATACCCCGCTGCAGACTGCATAACAACACGGGAGTGCCGAGTTCCCATTCTCATCCCAGGAACTGGAATGCAGACGAGATGCCAAAGAGAAAGATGGTTTTAAGTTTCCCAGTGTGCCGACTGGAAAGATTTATTTGTAGACAGGGGCAGGATTGTTTCTCCCCTCGACAAAGTAAAGAGGGAGGCTGCCAGTCAGTAGGACAGAGCTCATGAAACTGAGCAAGTGTCAATGAAACCAGATCTGCAGAGGAAGTTTTGCTCTACTCAATGTAACAGAGAACAGGGGAAGGAAGAGAGACCTAGCAGTGATTCAATAACAAAGTAGTTAACACTGCTGCTAAACAGAGAAAATTACTTTCTAATAAAGACGTTTACTACCTAAAGCTGCACTTCTGCACAGAGAGGATATAGCTCTTCTGTGTTTTTCCTAAGGAACTGCAACATTCAGTCTAAAAAAAATAGCTGATTCTGATACCTGCCGTGTTGGAGGAGGGGAAAACAGATAAAAACTGGTTTTTCCTTCAAAAAGCTTTCCTGCTTCACATAGTGATTGGTTACTGAAATTTCTCAAAGCATTAAGATCTGAGCCTGAAACCCTGTATTATGTAACTTTGCAGATACAATTCCACTACTGAGAACATCAGACGTTACTTGTGAAGCCTTAACCTCTATTCTTTCTTTTCCCACAAGAATGTGATTTGCCTTTACAGTTACACGAATGTGCTCCCCTTTGGTTGCACACCCAGCTCTCCTGTCGGTATGCCCTTCAGATAGTGGCATACCTCTCTAACCGCTTCTCAGCACCAATTTTGTATTTATCTGGAGCACTGATGATTGCAGACAGTGCAACCCACACCCAAAACTTGTTTGTTTGTTTTCAAATGCAAGTTTTCTTCTTGTAAAAGTGTCTGGATTTTCTCACTGCTCTAGAGGTCTCTCCATAGCTTTACTGTCTTAAATAACGAAAGGGTCTCAGCCACACACACTGGGACCACAAACACGAGTGTCTGAGTTTGCTGGGTTTTAAGACTGGAGTCTACAGACTACAGGCTTTTAAGGGAGTCTCACAGCACATTAATCCTTGTGTGTATTTGCATGTGTGCAGAAGCTATGACAAAAGAAGTGACAGCCATTCCTCTGGGTTCATTTGCTACAGAGGAAGCCATCTGGTAACAAGGGAGTCAGGCAGACAGCTTATCTGTCTTGGATACAATCTAGTTTTTACATTTCTGAGACACCTGTAACATAACAAACCACTTTTCTCTTATGTGTTCCAGAAAACTACCCCTGCGGTTTGGTAAGACAACAACAACTTTCTCAAATTGTTCCAGAAGGAATTTTCTAGACCAACCACTGCTTCACAAGCCATGACACAGACAAACTCCTTTGCTTTGCACTTTCTAGCTCTTTTAAAAGCAGCAGCATTGGCTTACACAGAATATACCAGCAGGACTCTTGAGTTCCCCACTTCTAGCCAAAGATTATTTCCTGTTCAGTGGAGGTTTACGTCTGACAGGACAGACAGCTAAAAATGCCTCCTATAATCTATATCAAAGACTGTTTGCATTGATTCGCTTGCCGTGAAACTGCTGGCCTCAAAAATTAAATTGGTATCATTAGCAGACAATGTAAAGAATAAACTGTTTCATTTTTTAAAAAAGACAATTAAATGAGGACAGTAAGCTGTAGTAAAGATTACTTACTAAAAGCTATTTAATAGTCCTAGCTTTTGAATAAGTTTATTTTTATGAAACACATTCCACTGTAAAGAGAAAAGTACTACGAAGCCATAAACACAACAAATAGGAAAAGAAAAAAAAGAGACACCGAGTTTCACAAACAGCAACAAATCAGCTTTTCCCCATATGAAGTGGAGGAAAGCTGTGGAGAACTCCTTCAAAGAGGGAGCTTCCCTTAGCAAACCCAGACACACCAGAACACAGGTCTGGCTTTCACATGAGCAGAGAATCCCTTCCAGGCCATGCTTTGAAATCAGCAAAAGGTCAGATAAAGATCCTGACAAAGCAAAAAGGCTGCTCAGGAAAGGAAATGGCACAACGTCCAATTTCTTCGTTCATGGCAAAGCTCATTGCTGATCAAAAAGATGCCCCTGACAGGCAAGGAATCTAACAGCGAACAACGGTTTCAGTGTTCAGTCAGGAATGAACTGCTCGATTATTGTCGGCACAGCCCTCCACGAGAAACAGTGGTGTTATTAACAACCAGCAACATCCAAACTGGTGACAGTTTGACAATGCAAATTCCAAACATCTCCCATTGATGAAATAACAGAATGAAAATTCTCTGGTGAGTTATGTTGATGCATGAGAGACCACAAAACTATGTGAAAGAGGAAGCTGGTGCTAACAGAACTTTTCAGCCATATTCACTCAGAGGTGGGAGGAATGCACCCAGAACTGGCTTTGTACTTTTTTCTATTGTATAGACAACAGTCATCTTTGTCTTATAGATTAATGTGCACATATGTCACTCACAAAACAATTTCAGAAAACTGTTTATGACATTCAAAAATAAACAAATAAATAAATCAAACATTCAGTGTCAGACATCAACAAAATATAAGATGTGCCCAAAGTAGTCTTAATTCTGCATTCGTGTTCCATATTCCAATAATTACACGACTGCCATCTGGCCTCATGTCATGCAGAGGAAAAGTGAAGGCTGAGCAATGCAATACAGCAGGCATT